ACAAAAGTACTTTAAAAATTATCATCTGACTATACTGTTTTGTCCCTATTTTCATACTGTATCTCAATGTTTCCCACACACTTATATAACAAGAACAATAGCAGAATCAGTCCCTAATGTTGTGGAATTTGTGAACTAGCAAATTACCTATGTAGTAATGTCTTTTCAATTGAAACTAACTTCTATAACTTCAATTTCTCAAATCCCTTCTCAAGTTATTTTCTATGGCAAAATATTATTTATTTATTTATTTTTCTCTCTCTTATCCTTACCCCCACTTCTTCATGCGAACACTCTATGCATATGAGACATGAGCCCCGATTACTCCATGAAAGGGTTACGAAATTTATTTATTTATTTTTCCTTCTTTATTTATTTATTTATTTATTTATTTATTTTTTATTTTTAGTATATCTGGCATAGTTATAACCTTCAAAGTTCACCACTTCATATCCAACCATAGTCATCAGAATTCAACCAAAAATACAAATACCTATAGATAAAATTTTAGTGTGCATGTGAAATCCATCAGGGACTGAAAATTACTAAAATTCCTATCATACTAGATAGTGGAACCCACATAGAATAAAACACGAAAATTAGGGATTCAAGACGATCTCAGAAAAGAATTTTAAAAGTACGTATGTGTCTTAATTCCTCGAACAATTCTCAAATACTTGAATTAAAGTCAATATGCCAAAGAAAAAGAATTAAATTTTTTTTAAATTTTTATTTTTTATTTTTAAAAATCTAGAGTGGACTCTATGCCCCCAAACTTGAATTGGACAGTGTCTTCACTGGGCAAAAATCAAAGGCAAGAAAAATAATAACTAAAAAGAAAATAAAAACAAAGAACGAAAGCACTTAACTGGATAGCTAAAATGGAGGCGGTGGAGCATCAGGATTAAGCTCGTTATGAATCATAAGTGGACGCATGATGGCCATCATTGATCTTTGATCCTGACGAATCATTCTTTGTTCCTCAAGAATCGTCCTTTGCCCTTCTAGAATTTTCCTCTATTCCTGATGGATTTCTTGAACTTCAGATCGGAGTTGGGTCACCTCACCAACCAAATAGTCATAGGGATGGTCATCAGTATCATCCTCGTCATCACGGGTTGCCTCTGCCATAGGCTCATCATGGGGTTCATCAGTGGACTCATCTTCTATGACTTGTCTAGTAGCCAATTGACTTGGATGAACAGGTAGAACTTTTTCACCCTCCACAATTTTGCGAGTCATTTCTCCAGGTGCAGTAACCACCATTAATTTCATGTGAGATCGGCTACGATTCCATTCAACGTCATTATAGCGATCATTGTGCTTAGAAGCGAACTCATCTGCAGCAATAGTGTAGCCCTGAGAAGTGACTAGTCGAATAACAAAGAATGGCAAAGGAAACTCCCAATCTTTTTCTTTTTTCGGAGTTTGCTGGATTACCAAATCATAAAATTTTCTAAGCTGCCCATAGATGATTTCCGAAAAAGATATCCAATGGCCAAAATGGATGGCATATAAGGCACGTAGAAAATCTTGATGATACTCAGATTGATGAGTAAGAGGGCACACATTATGAAAAAGTATGGCATCAGCGAACCATAGGTGTAATGGTAGAGATGATTTGGCAGTAGAATTATATTTGGAACCGGAGAAACAATTTGCAGCAAGGCGATTAATCATCAGTCTAGTGGGGACTTCTAACATCAGAGTGAAAATTAACTCCAAATTAGCCAGGCATTGATGTGGACATCCCAAAGTCATGGCAATCGTTGAAGGAGTAATGCGAATTATAGTACCATCAACAGATGACATTAATGCTCCCTGTTCATCTGGATTGGAATGAAGATTTTTGTAAAACACCTTGACTAGTTTGGGGTACATGAGTTTACCTGCCACCTCAAAAAGGCATTCAGCTTACCGGCATTGTAAATCTGCAATGGGTCATTGAGTTTCTGGAATGCATGCATTAAGAAATTCGATGTCAAAGCCCACTTCATAATTAAGTTTGCACTCATACCACCTCTCATCTATGGTATCTCGAAGAGTGGGCTGCACTACGGAAGATTGAATGGATCGGCTTGCGTAAGCACCGCCTTATGTGGTGTTTTTCTTTCTTGGAGCCATGGAGGATGAATTTTTTTTTTTTCTTTTGAGACCCTTTGTCGAACACTTGGTGGGTGCCCCAATTTCTTGCCTTCCCACATTAGAAATCCTTTCACCATCCTAATTTCCTTTCTTCCTTCTTCCTCACCATCTATATATACCTTATTCCATAACTTTATTCTTCACCATCCCAAATACCATTGCACAACTTTGGAGAAGAAATAAAAAAATTTAAGGCATGAAATTGCAGTAGCCTAAGAATAATCCTCGGCAACGGCGCCAAAATTTGCACAACTTTATTCTTATTCTTATCCTCAGCTTCCGTTTGACCCAAAAATCGAAAGGAGTCTCAGGAACTTGAAGAAAGATTTTAGGGCAGATATTTGTGGTGACTTTGGTAGTTTGGTTGCTGTTTAGTGGTTGATTGGGTTGTTGCACTTGGTTGAATTCTAATTTGTGGGTGGTGACTACAACTCAGTGAGTTTGTGATTTTGTTAACGGGTATTATTTGGGTGATTGTTTATTCATTGAATGTTGGGTTATGAATGATTATTCACCAGGTAAAGTATGCACTATAATTGTTGATTATCTCGTGGTAAATTTTTTTTTTTCACTGCCTAACATAACATCAAATTACCTAAACCCATTATCCTTTCATCTTTCCAAATTACCGTATTCCATCTCTATATAAACCACCACCAAATTCCTTCCATTATACCATAATCCATTATCGTTCCCCACAATCACCACTATAAGCACCACCTTTCCTACCCCATTAGAATAATTCCTACCCATGAGGCTGCCGCTGATGACATTGATGAGCACTTGACTATTTGGTTGGTGAGGTAACCCAACTCTAATTTGAAGTTCAAGAAATTCATCAAGAGCAGAGGACAATTTTGGAAGGGCAGAGGATGATTCTTGAGGAACAAAGGATGATTCGTCAGGATCAAAGATCAATGATGGCCATAATGCGTGCGCGTATGATTCATAACGGGCTTAATCCCGATGCTCCACCGCATCTATTTTAGCTATCCTGTTAAGTGCTTTCATTCTTTGTTTTTATTTTATTTTTAGTTATTATTTTTCTTACTTTTGATTTTTCCCAGTGAGGACATTGTCCTATTCAAGTTTGGGGGTATAGAGTCTACTCTAGTTGTTAGGCGCTGAATGTTATACATTTTAGCCCCTTTACTTGCATGTTTTATTATCTTAATAATAATTTATTTGTGATTTTACATTCTTTTATTGTTTTTTATTTATTTCAGGGCTTTAATTGTAAAATCCGTCAAGATCAGTGATTCTGAGCTTTAAAAGATGACATTCCATGGAACCGAGCGATGTTGAAGATCCAAGTCTAATTATACTTAGAAAATATTCCAAAAGAAGACACCAATTGATAAGAATGGAAAGAAGAAGAAAAGGAAAACTCCTTCTCCGAAAAGGAAACTTTCACCGAAGTTGGTAACTTGAACCCGTTTTGGTAATCTGGTTGTATCTCTCTCCTCGAGTGTCAAAACAGCTAAATTCCCACGAAGGGTTGAAAGGAAATTTGAAGAGCTACAATTTTGTATTTCATGAGGATTATATAAAACAGCTGGTTACCTTGTCAAAAATGGCCTGGAAGTTTGTACGAATTTTGGAATCCTTATTTGATAGAATTTCTATGTATGTCTTCTATATGAAAAAGGGAACTTTAGGGCCGATCTTTTATTATTTAAAGGAGTCCTCTACAATATTGAATCATCATACAGAGGAGCTTTAGGCTGAGATCAGAGGAGCATTAAGAAAAAAAAGAAGAGATCGATCCATGGCGGTGAAGATGTCTTCCTCAACCTTGAAGAATTCCATTCCAGTTATGCTTGGCTAAACGCTTTGCTAGGGTTGTGATGTAGCCCTCGCTTAGCACACTAGTTTGATTGCATTTAATTATTAAAGAACAATTTTTATCATGCATGATTGTGTAATCTATAGGACTTTTAATTGACTTTTCAATAAGAATCGGTTTTAGAGTTTTAATTCAATTACAAATATTTTTCTATTTTGTCTTAGATATTTTAATCTTGTGATTGAACACAACTTATTCACTTCTTGTAGTTGTGAATGAGATGATTACACAATGGTTTTTATCTGAATATAATGTTAGAGATTTGATAGATTATGTCTAGAAAAGATAAACCATGTTACACCCTAGAGTAAAGTAAATAGGTAAATGATTTATGCTAATCGAAGATAGTCTATGCTTAGCTTTAAATTATATTCTTTTCTAGCTGAATTAATATGTGCTTGTAGCCATGATTTATTCCCTATGCATGTTATATGATATATCTCCAATAAATTGATACAATTAACTGGTGGTGCGACTTTAGTGGTGAAGTCATTCCCCTAGTTCTATCTCTCTATTTTCTATATCATATTTAATTATAGTTCTTTAATTTATTTTCTATTTAGTTAATTTAGAATAAATCATCACAATTCGATTATCCTACTTTCAAGTTAATTTGGAATTTAATAAATTTGTTGACAAACTTATTTTACACAAGTCCCTTGGGTACGACATCCTTACAAGTAAACCCTATCTGTAAAGATTCGTGCACTTGTGAGTGGTACATATAAATCTCACGACAAGTTTTTGGCACCGTTGCTGAGGAACTTGTTTTAGTTCTTGACAGATAATATTAAATTCTACAATTAATTTCAACTATGATATTAGTTTAGGATTTTAATTTAATTTAATTTATTTCTTTATTTTTATACTGTTTTCTTTTAATTATTGTAGCTGACATTATATGCTTGGAAGACGTTCTTTGTCACTCCCTTAGCTTCCGTTAGACCTAGAAATCGAAAGGACTATCAAGAACTTGAAGAAAGATTTTGGAGGCCTTAAAAAGGAAAAGATGGCAGATGATCCACCAGCTGCAGAAGCAATTCGCTGTTTAAAGGATCACTACGAACCAGGTGCATACAACACTTCATCTGTAGTTCAGTATCCTCAAGTGAGGCCCCTCACTACGAAATTAAGGCTAGTATTCTTCAGTTATTGCCTTCTTTTTACGGCCTATCAAAAGAGGATCCATACCGGCACTTGGATGACTTTGCACAGGTGTGCAGAACAATAAAGATCTAAAGCTTTAACGATGATGTGCTCAAGCTACACCTTTTCTCCTTTTCATTAAAAGACAAGGCGAAGGACTGGTTTAATTCATTAGCACTAGACTCCATCACTACATAGGCTAAATTGCAACAAATTTTTTTAAACAAGTACTTCCCTATGGTGAGAACTACTCAATATCAAGATGCTACTAGTCGTTTTGCTCAAGGGCCTGACGAGCCTTTTCATGAGGCTTGGGAAAGATTTAGAGACCTCCTTCGGAAATGTCCTCGTCATGACATGCCAAAATGGTAGCTTGTCAACTTCTTTTATAAGGGGCTCAATGAGGCACAAAGGTATATGGTGGATGCCTCTTGTGGTAGAAATTTTATGTTGAAGAGTATAGAGGAGGCATGGCAGCTCTTCAAAAATATATCTAATAATTCTACACAACATGTCTTACCTCCAGTAGCAAGACCTCCTATAATATTGAGGAGAGCAGAAAGTGTGAATGAAGCAGGAATAAATCAAGGGTTAGTAAGCCAAATTGAGGCATTAACCAACATGATGGATCAATTGATGACTTCACAGTCCAATTTTACTCCTCCTTCGACTAATGCTCAAGGCTTTGAAGTGTGCTCTTTTTGTTCTAGTCCAACTCACCATGTGTCCATTTGTCCAAGTGTAGCTTAATATTCAGAAATTCCACAAAAGCAAGTTAATGCTACCTATGGAAGGCCCGGAGGGAATAATATGTATTCAAATACTTATAATCCTGCTTAGAGAAACTATCCAAACTTGTCATGGAGAAATCACGCCACAGGGACATCAGTTCCTCCACCTCAAGTACCTCAGGTTCAAGGCAATTTTCAATCTCCAGTTCAGACTTCAAATCCTCCTGGATTTACTCCTATGAATGCCATGAGTCAACCTTAACAATTTTTATCAATACTCGAGGCAATGATGGCAAAGCAGTTAGAGCCAACTAATCAACTTGTGCAGTCTCATTCTCAATCCCTTGCCAAGTTAGAGACTTAAGTTGGCCAACTAGCTCAACCTTTGAACAAAAGAGAGGACGGCAAACTTCCTAGTCAACCAGTAGCTAATCCAAGAGGTGTGCATATAATTGATGACATTATTGGCCAAGAAGTTCACCATGAACAAGTGCAAACAATTACTATTATGAGAAGTGGTACGAGTGTTGAAAATAAGGTGGAAGAAGAGGAAGCAAAAAAGAATGAAAATTGGAAGAAAAGACTTGAAGAGAAAAAGGAGCGCAATGAAAAAGCACAAGAAGTACCTCCAACTATTGAGCCATCTTTGAGCAGAGGCATGCAGTTGTGCCATTCCCTCAGAGACTACAAAAAACATCATAGGCAGGGAAGCAAGCAAGCAAACTTCAGGACATAATGGAGATATTCAAACAGGTGAAAATTAATCTCCCATTGCTTGATGCAATTCAGCAAATTCCAGCTTATGCCAAATTTTGGAAAGATATGTGTACTCAGAAGAGGCGTTCAAATAGCCATGTTCCTAAGAAGGTGCTATTAACTGAGCAAGTCAGTTCCATAATCCAGCACTGCACTGCTCTAAAATTCAAAGATCCAGGCGCTCTAACAATTTCATGCATAATACGGAATCATCAAGTAGACTGAGCTCTCCTAGATTTGGGTGCAAGTGTAAACCTTCTTCCTTATTCGGTTTACTTGCAACTCAAATTAGGACAATTAAAACCTATCTCAATTATTCTCCAATTGGCAGATAGGTAAAACCAAGCAACCCCGTGGTGTCATTGATGATGTGATCATCAAAGTAGATAAATTCTACTTCCCAGTAGACTTTATTGTGCTAGATACCGAGCCAGTTCCAGAGTCAAGGAGGCGTATTCCAGTGATCCTTGGTCGTCCTTTCCTTGCGACAGCAAATGTAAGCATAAATTATAGGAATGACGTCATGGACTTATCTTTTGGCAATATGAATGTGCGCTTAAATATATTCAATTCCAATCAATGCCCTTCAGATGATAAGGATTATTTTTTTGTCGATACCATCGATGAATGTGTTGAAGAAATGGTCCCATTTGCCTTAACAAAAGATCCACTAGAAGCATACCTATCTTACTTTGATACCGAGTCCTTTGATGTCGACAAAAGCATTGAAGAAGTAAATGTCACTCTTGATGGAGCCAATATGCATAACATTCCACCATGGAAAATTCCTATTGAGCCACTTCTACCATTGTTAAGTGAACCACCTACGCCATCTTTGAAGTCTCCACCAGAGATAGAGTTGAAGTCGTACCCTTTCATTTGAATTATGCATATCTTGGGCTAGAAAACACTCTTCCATTCCATAATTCATTCCCGGATACGTAGCTATTTCAACTTTAGAAGGAGACTCCACCATGGTATGCTGATATTATGAATTGGAAGGCATCAAGAAAGAAAACTGTTTGATCAGATCGGAAAGATTGGTACATTGAAGATTCTGTGCCTACAGAAGGAGTTGAATTCGTTACTTTGACGGATCCCATTTACTCCACCTAATCATCCAGGTATCACATCGCCTACCGACGTTAAATATAGGAATTGTAGATAGGATTTTTCATTTATGAATTTTTTTTATTGGTTTTGTTTTTCTTTCTCTCTTTAATTTTATCTTTTGTTTTAGTAGATTAGGAAGATTTAAAGTTTGATTGAATCTTACGAAACACATTAAATTTTCCTAATCTACTAAAGCAAAAGATAAAATTAAAGAGAAAAGGAAAAAATAAAAAATAAAAAATTACATAAATGAAAAATCCTACAATTCCTATATTTAATGTCGGTAGGCGATGTGATACCTGGATGATTAGGTGGAGTAAATGGGATCTGTCAAAGTGATGGATTCAACTCCTTTTATAGGCACAAAATCTTCAATGTACAACTTCAATCTCTAACCATTTACTTGTAGTGTCTTACCTTTCTTTGGGTCAAAAATGGTGATAGCCCCGTGAGAGGTTACCATTTGAACTTGATATGGACCATCCCATCTTGAGCGCAATTTCCCTGGAAATAGCTTCAATTTGGAGTTGAATAACCAGACTTTGTTACTTGGCTTGAAAGATTTTCTCACAATGTGCTTATCATGAAACGCCTTGGTTCTAACTTTATAAATTCTTGCGCTATCGTAAGCATCATTGCGAAGTTCTTCTAATTCACTTAGCTGAAACTTCCTCTTCAGCCTAGCTTGACTCATATCGAAGTTCAATTTTTTCACGACCCAAAAAGCTTTATGCTCCAATTCCACAGGTAAATGACATGCTTTCCCAAAGACTGAGCGATGTGGCGACATCCCAATTAGTGTCTTGAATACTGTGCGATATGCCCATAAAGCATCATTGAGACGCAATGACCAATCCTTTCGATCCGGTTGAACCGTTGATGGTTGCCGAACGGTCGCTGCACCATAAGCTTAAGAGTGTGCATTAAGGCGAGGGTCAAGTTTTACATTTATAAAAGCCACTACTACCTTCACTAAAAATATAGTTAGAGTGAGTAGGGATCGTCCCAAGGGATTGGAGTCGAATTTGGTTATGGAATCACTATTAGGGTTAGTAGGTTGAGTGATCAAACAAATAGTTGGTTGGTTGATTAATTAGAGAGCAAATTAAACTAAATAATTGAATGCAATAAAAAGTAAGTAACTAAGAGAGATCTTGGGATTTAGAGGTCACCACCAAACAATACTTTTTTACACCCTGAACAAGTGAGTAATGAGGGAAATGTGTGCTGCAATATTGATGTGTGTGTGTGTGTTTGGTTGATTCAATTAGCAAGGGTGACCAATTAAGTATATATTGTCTAATCAACATGTGAAAGGCACAATATATCTAACAATTAAGTATATATTGTCTAAGTAGCATGTGAAAAGCACAATATATCTAGCAAGTCATTAATCCTTTCATTAAGCCCACAAGCCAAATACACGACAAGGTTAGAGACATATGCTACTTGCATTTAAAAGTATGGAACATCAACAACAAGCATGGATTGTCCTCCCATCTAACAACTATGCTACCACTACACTACAATTAAGCTAATGACATGAAATTAAACTAATTAAGCTAAGGAAGAGGCACAATCCATCAAGAAATGAGCATGAACCATCAAGAAAATTACAAGAGCATTCCATTAAGCACTATGTTTTGACAATCTCTAGATATATGGCATTAATACACATAGGCATGCATCAATAACACAAGAAATAGAGACAAACACATGAACATCTATTCTAGCATACATAGACACATGGATAGAATGAAATGATCAATTGGAAGCATTAAACCATATAAATCATTGAATAAACAAGAACTATATATATAAAAGTGCCAAAACATGTATTACAACACTAATCCCTCAATAATACACAAAATCAAGATGTAGAAAGCATGCTTGGGGCTAACTCTAGCCCCAAGAGGATGTCTAGCCACTCATGGTAATGCTTTTCCAAACCTCAAGGGCAAACTCCATGGAAGAAATCTACTTATTGGTTGATGAAGAGCTCCCAAGCTTGTGTCTCTAGCCTTCTCATCATTTTTTCCTCCCTAAGAATAGCCTCTCTTATGACAGATCAATCTAAGTGTCTCCTCCTTAAAAAGTGTATCATATTCTATATATAGGTAGGTCAAGTGACACACAAAATGAGTTAGGGTTGTGCACAAAATATTCCCCAATGATTGGATAAGGACAGCTTTCAATGAGCAGGAAATTTAACTTTTTCGCATTGGAGGAAGTTCGATCTATCGAACCTTGGACTTGGATTGATCTATCATGGCTGAGATTTATCGAACTGAAGTTGGATCGATCCTCAATGGCGGCATCCTTTTGGATAAAAACAAATCTGAGATATTTCGAAGATATTTTTGGGAAAAGGACAAAAGTGGTTAGTAGGGTGGTACAACTAGATAAGATAAATCATTTGAATAAGGACAAGGTAGTTCGATCGATCGAAGAATGATGTTGGATCGATCGAACTTTTGAGATCTCTGAAAATGTCATCACAACTCTGATCCATCTTGAAGTGCTGAGATTGATTATGTTAGATCGATCAAACTTTGATCTGAGATCGATCGAAGATGTTGAATTCCACATTTTTCTTCCTTTTGCTTCCACTTGGCTCATTTCTTTGATTCATCCCAGAATTGTTTCATTTCTGCTCTTATTTGGCTGAGTTAGCTTATTTTCGGGATAAGTGCCTGAAAATGGAAATAACATGAAATCAATCCAAAACGGTAAAGTAAGATAGATAAAGGTATTAGAATACCTAAGCTTAAGGGGTTTAAATACACACTTTTCAGTGCTCATCACACCCCCAAACTTAAATATTGCTAGTCCCTAGCAATGAACTAGAAAGTAAAGGAATGAAATGAATAACTATACAACTATGAACTAGAAAGCAATAAATGGATAACGCCACTTTCGTAGGGAACACGATTGCACTTATCATATGCAATAAGCCTTTAAAACCCCTAGGTTACCCCTAGTGGACGAGTGAAGTCTCATGAGGGTTTCCAGAAATGATACCCACAAACTTTAAGCTTATTCTTTCAAAAGTGACACCAATATTGCAAACAAGCATTGGGAGAAAACTACCTCAAGTATGCAGTTTTTCAACCATTTCCAAGAAATCTCCCAAAATCTAAACATCAAGTAAGCAAGTGTAGTCCTCCACACATCAAGAAAATGATCATACAAATCAAAACAACTCTAGAATCCTTTTTGAGTGGACCGGCATCAAGTGTGTTGCTATCTAAGCCAACTAAAGAATTAATTACATCCTTACCCTCAAACTAGCACACAAATCTAGTACTGATCATCAAGATAAAAAATGGATCTTTTATTAAAGCTTTATTGTTCTAGGTGCGCTTATTCTTTTCGCTTGATTTTTTTATTTATTTTATTTTTTTATAGGATCAAAGATGAAAGCATGGTGCAATGTGTTGATTTATTAAGCTTTCTAGCGATTCATGAGGTCGAGCGTTAGGTCAATGACTCCCAAACCAGACGGCTTTAAGGCATTAGGTGTTCAAATACCCCTACGGACTTACAAGCTCAAATCAACTAGACTACAAATCAAGACAACCTCCATCTAATCATTTCTCACTCTCACCTTTTGGGAGAAGTCCTCACTTTTATTTATTTATTTATTGCTTTTGCAACTTCTTCTTCTTCTTCTTTTTTTTCTTTTTTTTTTTTTTTTTTTAATCATTAACCTAGAGTTTGGGCCCTCCACCTTTCGGCGCGAGAAGTTTAGTGCTTGATGAGGCTAGAATCCCGGCTACTTAGTGAAAAGGGGTTGTTATCCACCTTTATCAAGAATAAAAGCTTTCATTGCACTACTAGCCCAATTGGGATATAACCAATTCAATAATCAACAAAGCATGTACTCCATAAATGAATACTAGTGTGCGCCTGTGCTAGTGTAGAATACTAGAGTGAATCTCAAAATAATCACAAAATCAAGATGATGTGGACCACAAGTGCAAGCAAGATATCAATCTTTCGAAAAATTTACTCCTAAATGGCATCCGCAAGGCATACAAGGAGTGTTAGACTCTCAAGTCAAGTAATTTTTAAATTTTAAGTAATATAGTCCTCAAAAGATCAAAATCATCGCTAATATGGACCAATCATAGAAAATCTCTCAAATACACAAGTCATGCTCAAAATTTTGAATTTAAAAGCAAACACTGTAACATACACTATTAATTACAACATTACCCCCAAACTTAAATGGCACAGTGTCCTTAATGTGCAAAGAGAACAAAAGGAAAGAGTATACCGGTGCAATTAAGTGGGTAGCATGGCCCCCCCAAACTTGGGATTGACTGTGGTCTTGAAATTTGGCACTTAGATAAATTCATCAGATAACAAAAGGGATACTCAGTGCATAGTGGACATGCAAGCATAAATGGGATAAAGCAGATAAAGTAGGGAGAGAGATATAAGGGTGGTTCTGAAAATTATGTAGCATTCTCTCTCACTGTAGTCACTATGATGCACCTGATGGAATCAAATAGACAGATATAAAAATATGATAAATGACATCCATAGCAAAAACATATATATAAAGAAAATAAAGTGTAGAGTACATCAAAAGAGCAAAGTCGACATATCCGGCTGCAAATAATATACAGTGACAAAAATAAAGTATAGATCACAGAGGTGTAGTATGAAAAGATAGAAGAAACTGGGAATCTCAGGTGGATGAGCCAGGACGGGCAGGGCGAGCTCTGCGGATATCGTGAGATAAGTCTTGGAGTGCAGTCATGACATCCGTGTAGAATGTAGCAAAATCAACTCGGTGGGCCACAACATCAGCTCGAATGGCAGCAGTATCAGCTCTGATAACAACCACTGCATCCTCAAGAGCCTGAAGACGCTCTCCAAAGCTGGGGATCTGACTAGGAGCCTTAGGTACGGATGAATCTGAAGAAAGATCCTGAGTCTGCTCCTCTACATGAATGGGTGATCCAGTTGAAGAGTGCTGCTCTACGTCATTTATAGGTCACTCTAAATCAATGTCTATACGTTCGACAGCCGGATCAACTGGTGCGTCGTCTGCTGCCGGGTCTATTGCTGCTGTTGGGGCCTCAGCCTCTAAATCATCTAAATCTAAGTCCTCTGCCGCCTGAGCTGCAGCCTCCTGTAATCGGGTAATAATAGCATTATAACTCTTATCCCAGTCCTTCTTCAAGAAGTGACAGGAACCTCGCTCAGGGTGCTCCTGAGGATGGAAAGGATATCACTGGTCAATCAGCATCTAGGTGATAAGGTGGCCAAATGGGAGAGACTTAGCCCTTCTGGGCTTCTCCTTGTTGATATGCTCATCGTAGAGCTTCTTCATCACGCTCTAGATGAGCGTGGGGATAGATACCTAGCGGTCTGTATAAAATGTGTAGAGGGCTGTCAGATAATCTCCTCGCTGCTGAATCTTGTGCCCGGCCATATATATGTTTAGAAAGAGAACGGAATCAAAGAACCATAGGTCATCTGGAAGATAAGTGCAGGTGGCGAAAGTCTCGCCATCGACATGGTGACCTGTCAAGAAAACTACCATGTCGGCATAAGAAGGCCTGTATAGCCTCGGATATAGCTCCTGTAGCTCCGGAGGGCATCGGTGTGGACAATGGCGTGATCTGGCTAGCGTGTCCACAGTAATAGAAATCTGGTGGCCATCTATGGTAGTGACCAGCTCTGCCGTGGTACGCGGGGACGGTCGGAGGTTCTGGAAGAACATCCGTACTAGCCGCGGGTAGACTGGCTCAGTAACTGGGGCAAGAATAGCTACAA